CAGGCCAGGGAGGAGTTATGAGAATCAAAGGCAGAGACAAAATAGAATTACAGGATCAAGGCGCAAGATTGCCTTGGCTTTACCCAACATATGGGTCATATTCAAAACCAAAACCAAAGCACGCTATCCTTTATTCATCAAGAGTCCCTGAAAAGATGCTGATCGTGATGGTGGCGAAGGCCCGTATCGGGTACTCAGCCCTTCACACGCAAATCCTTCCCCGGGTCCCGCCACTCCAGCTTGCCTCTACATGTATAAGCCAGTGTCTGCTGCTGTAACAAACAGTCCCGATGACGGCACTCACAGTGCGTCCGTGGCAGGTGGCCATTCTCCCCCACGGAGAGGTTTGGGGACCAGTGATTTGGGGTGAGCGTGGCTCGGCCGTTGCCCAGGGCCTTGGAGCTTTGCACCCAGGAAGAAGATAAAAGAGAAGGCAGGGACCTTTCCTTTCCCTAAGAGCTCTCCCCAGGAAGTGCCACACGCCACTCACACGAGCAAGAGCTAATCACGCGACTCCTCCTGGACCCAGGGCATCCTGGGAGATGTGACTCTGGCTCAGGCAAGCCACTTTCTAGCACTCAGCCAACCCGATTCCCGTCTGAGCTACAGGGCTCGTAAGTGGCACCGCTGGGACTCGAACTCAGGACCGTGTGAATTCAAAGCTCTTTCCGTGTAACTCCTGCGGACGGTCATCTCAGGCTTTTGGCCCTCTTCTGCTTTGAAATCCTGTGGAACAAATCCATCGCTTCGATTTACCCACGGGTGTATCAATCCGTGGGGTCGGTGGAGGCAGCACCGGTCACTCTGCCGGGCGGGATCTTCACGTCATCAATTCTTCATCCACTTGTAGAAGCCATCATCCCCAGAAAGCTGACCCGCACGCCGAGCCTGCTGCCAGAAACCAAGGCCTTGGACCATCTGTAGGAGATAAATAAATCAAAATATCATCAGCAGATAAGTGCGGGCCATCTGCCGCTCTGTCAGTTGAACTGGCAGAGGCCTCTGGAGAATTCCGGAGACCAGCTTGCCAAGACTCCGCCAGCCCGGGCTGCGAGCAGATCTTCACAGGAGATGGGCTGGCATTGCCTTGTCTCTGCTCTGCCCTCCTCCAGCCCAGCCAGAGAAGGCGTGCGAACCTTCTCCCCTGCCAAGCAGTTGGGAGTCATTGCTCGTCAGCCGCGTTTGTAGGCCTAGGTCATCTCTGCCCTCCCGGCTAGTTCCCAGTGTCCCCTGCTCCCAACTGGGGGGGGGGGACTCTTCTTTGTGACTTTTTATCTTGGCAGTATTGGGGTTTGAACTCAGGGCCGCAAGCTTGCTAGGCAGGTGCTCTGCTCCTTGGGCCACACCACCGGACCATTTGGCTTCTGTTATTTTTCATCTATTTGCCTGGCATTGGCCTCAAACGGGGAACCTCCAAGTTTAAGCCTCCCACGTAGCTGGATGACAGGTATGCACCATCCCACTGGGCCTAGTCTATTTGAGATGAAGTTCTTGTTATCTTCCTCCTCTCCCACCCCAGACTGTCTTCAAATAAGAGATCTTCTGGACTGCTATTTCCTCATGGGCTGGGATTACAGATGTGAACTACTATGTCTGGCAGAGAGGGTGCTTTTGTTGCTCTTTTCAGCATGCTAACTCTGCTAAGTGCCGAACAGAGGAGTGATCTGAATAAAGATCCGTGCCCACCATTTTGGTTTGGACCCTACCTCTGCCACTTAGCTGTGTGAGTGACTGGATGCTCCCGGGCCTCCGTTTCTCCATCTGTAGGATGGGAGCGCAGCTGTGAAGGTTGGCAAATTCAGCCCTGGGTAAGTTGTGAAGTACTTAGAGAGGCTGAGCCGGGGTCTGAGCCAAGGTCGTCAGACTCTGCCTGGCTTTTGAAAACCCCCCTCTGTCCTCCGTCTCCTGCCTCCCTCCCTCCCCAGCCTCCTTCCCCAGCCTCGGCATCACCATCTGCTGCGGCGTGGAACTAAGTCACGCTCCTCAGACCCCGGATATGGGGCTCAGCCAATGATGCTGTGGCACCCCGTGTTGCTTCCTCTCTCCGTCCGGGCTCCTCTGCCAACAAAGCCCCGAGCACCTCGGTGTCTGTGCCAGGAGCAGCGTGGCCAATACACAGCGTCCCCCACGTCCCCTGCCAGCTCCTGGCCTCTGCCACGGGTCACCTTCCTCCGTGGTGCCTGCGGCTGCGCCAGGTCCCCTCTACCCACTCAGGCCGAAGCGACAGAAGCACGCCCCGGTCTTGGAAGAAGGGTTGTGTGTGTCTCTCTCCTGGGGTGTGGGCGAGGATCCCGGGTTGGGGAAAGGGGGGGCGTTCTCAGAACTCTTTCCCATTTCAATCACCCTCGGGGCCATGGTCCGCCGTGGTGATCAAACACACAACACCGAAGGTTCCAGAAATAAACCACTTGACACCGAAGTTTTAAATTGTGCGCCGTGCTGAGTGGCCTCATGAAATACGGTCGCCTGTGTTTCTCACCCAAGATGAGATCGGTCCCTCATTCCTGCCGTCCCGGCTCAGTGCCTGGGGGGGGGGGCAGGGGTGGAGCTATCTCTCAGATACAAGACAGAAAGGCTGTATTCATACACTTGTATTACTGTGCTTGGCTTTCATTGCTGTATGTTTGCATTTTTGTACCAGTACTGAGGCTTGAACTCATGGCCTTGAGCTCCTGCTGGGCTTTTTCACTCAAGGCTGGCGCTCTGCCCCATTGAGCCACAGCTCCACTTCTGGCTTTCGTGGTGGTGGTTCACTGGAGAGAGGCGTCTCATGGACTTTCTCTCCTGGGCTGCCTTCGATCTGTGATCCTCAACTCTCAGCCTCCTGAGTTGCTGGGATTACAGGTGTGAGCCACTGGCCCTAGGACAGTTTTTAGAGGGGGCTGGTGTGTGTGTGGGGGGGTGGGGAAGCAAGCTGCTGGTCTGTGCTGTGACTCTGTAGCTAAGGCTCCAGCCCCCACATAGTTACCTGTAACCACAGCCCATGGCGAAGACGTTCTCGCAACTATTAGAGGATTCCCCCAATAATCAGGTGAACAGATGCCCAGGCAAGACTGGCAGCCTCCTGTCCCTGCCCTGGCCCCACAGGCCGGTGTGATATGGCCCTGGTGGCTGCCCATCCTGGTCCCGTCTACACGTCTATAAAGAGCCACCCGTGCGCCCCTGGGATGCCGCCATCTGCTTCTTGTCAGGCCCTGGCCGGCCCAGATGGCATCTGCGTCGGCTCAGATCCATCCACACAGACACCAGCCCCGGGGCCGCGCGCGCCCTGCAGGCCAGGAAGCCGCGCTCCTTGTAGCCCGTGACCTTGTGGCTGTGAGTGGAGGCCGGGCCCACGGTGCGGGTGGGGGGTGCTGAGGAGCTTCTGGAGGGGGGGGCACACACTCTCCCCTCTCCCAGCATGCATTTCTCCAATCGCCACTGCTCCAGATCCCAGGGCACTGGCTGGACGGTGCGAACCCCAGCCTCTACCCAACCGGGACTGCTTCCAGCCTGAGCGTCTTGTGAAGTTTCCAGAATGTCTGGGAGAACCTAGCATCTCTCCTTCGTTCTTCTCTCTATGGGGAGTGTGGGAACCCTACCTGGGAATGAGATTCTTCTTTCCTTTGCTCCTTCTTTCCTTCCCTCCCTCCTTCCCTCTCTCCCTCCTTCCCTCCCTCCCATTTTCCCCCTTCCTTCCTTCCTTCCTTCCTTCCTTCCTTCCTTCCTTCCTTCCTTCCTTCCTTCCTCTCTCTCTCTCTCTCTCTCTTTTCTTCCTTCCTCTCTTTCTTCTGCACTGGTACCATTCTACCGCTTGAGCCACAGCTCTACTTCTGGCATTTGGGTGGTTAATTGGAGACAAGTGTCTCTTGGACTTTGTTACACAGGCTGGCTTTGAACCCTCAGATCTCAGCCTCCCGAGTAGCTAGGATTACAGGTGTGAGCCACCCATTCCCAGATAGTAAGAGTGATTTTTTTTTTTCTTCAGTACTAAGATTTGAACTCAGGGCTCGATGGCTGCTAAGCCAGGTACCTGCACCATGCTTCTGGCTGGTCCGGAGAGTGATTCCACTGTACACCCGAGATGGACTCGGTTTGACCTTTTGGGACTCGCAAGCGAACAGGAGGTAGCCCAGAGCCCTTCCAGGGAGGGTGGTCCCCAGAGAGGCCCTGAACCCCGAGGGGAGGTTTAGAGGCCTCCGGGGGAAGGCCCTGCAGGGTGAAGGGGAGCAGCGTGACCCCCATGGATGACCAAACAGCTCTTTCCCCATGGGAAGGTGAGACTTGGGGCTCAGCAAGACTTTTCTTCCCAGCCAGGCACCAATTACTCACTCCTGTCAGCCTCACTACTCAGGAGGAGATCTGAAGATCAAGGCTGAAAGCCAGCTGTGGGAGGAAGTCTGAGACTCTTCTCTCAATTAACCCCAGTTTAAAAAAAAAAAAAAACAATTTAAAAAGCCAAGAAGTGGAGGCGTGGCTCCCATTGATCGAGTGCCAGAGTCTTGAGCAAAGACGTGTTCAGGACCAGTGTCCTGGCCCTGAGTTCAGGCCCCAGGACTGACTGGCACCAAAAGAACAGAAAGAAAAGAAAAGAAAAGAATCTTGCTCCCAGCTGGGAACCAAGACCCAAACACTTTATACTGGTAGTTAGATCCAATACATTCGCTAAGTGTCTGTGTGCAGGGCCTGAATTTCCTGGGTGGAGGATCCCTAACTGGGGTGAGCTCCAGGACCCCTCCCCTCCATTCACCCAGGTGCCCCGGAATAAACCTCTGTAATTAAATCTATCAACGCACTGAGAGTGGGTGTGGTGGGAGGGGCGGAGAGGCTTCTTGTAAAGGAGCAAGTGGGCAGCCTCCCTGGCACCCCCCCACCCCGGGGCTGGCCTTGGGGTCCTGCTGCAGGGGTCCTGGCGGGGGCGGGGGGGGATGTCTGCAGGGAACAGGCCAAAGGCGCATGCGTGCTTGCAGTCTGTCGGTCGCTCCTTCTGAAACTCCCTCTTTTTCTGTTCCAAGGTGAGACCTGCCGCAGCTTCATCGACCTGGCCCCGGCGTCCGAGAAAGGTGAGTGCGACCTTCACCCATCTGGCGTGGTGTCCGGGCTGTGGGCCAGCAGCCAGGTGTCGGGTTGGTGTCTCTCCAGGGTACAGCGAAGCGGGGAGTGGAGAGGGAGGAAAGGGGTGGCGTCTCCCTCCCCCTGATGTGGAGGCAGCCCCAGAACCTCACCTTCTCCTCATGTCCAGGCTACCCCATGCCTGGGCCCTGGGAGGGTTCTGTGCCCCTGGCTGGGGCTGTGACCCCCCCCGGGGGGGGACCATGGCCAGCTGTCCAGTCTCCTGTCCAGTCTGAATGGCTGCTGTCGTCCATGGGGGTCTCCCTGCTGGGCTCGGTTCATCCCTGGGCCTGGGCCGGTCCTAGGCAGCCACTTGGGGGATCTGACCACTTGAGTGGTGGCAATGGCAATTTAGGATCACGCTGGGCTGCAAAGAATAAATAGCAACTTGCGGGTAATGTGTCTGTTGTCTTCATTGAAGTCTGAACGCAGGTAATTCAGGGTGGCTTCCTAGCACAGATTCCTGCTGCTCCATGGTGTGTTCCCCGCACACCCCCCTCCCCAATCCCCGTGATCTTCATCTTCATGGTCTACGGCAGTCGCTGGAGTGCCAGCCATTGCGTCTGTGTCCCAGGCAGCTGGGTAGAGAATGAGCTTAGCAGGAAGGGCAATGGTTGTAGGTCCTTCCTCAGATCTCACCATGTGGCCTGCCTTAGCCGTAAGAGAGGGGGACCAGCAGAAGCCAGAGGCGCATGCGTGCTTGCACACCCTCTCTCTCTCTCTCTGGTGGTATTAGAGTTTGAACTAAGGCCATCACCCCTGCTAGGCTAGCCCTCTACCGCATGAACTGCCTCCCTGGCCCTTTTTGTGCTTCAGTTATTATTAATTTTTTTCCAGCTAGGATCTCATGCTTTGAGCCAAGTCCATCCTTAGACTGTGCTCCTCCAGCTCTCCGCTTCCCAAGTAGCTGGGATTACAGGCGGGTGCCACCATGCCCACTGAATCGATGCCTTTCTCCTTCCTCCCTTGGCCGGTCATGGAGGGTGTAGAAGGAGAGCGGACAGCGTGGTTTGGCTCAGCCTCCGTGTTCAGGGCCATTGTGGACTTCCTGGGCCTCTGTGTCTCTCCTGACCTCAAGTCCTGTCTCTGGCTGCCCGAGGGGCGCTTCCTCCCAGAGACCCCCAGGCCCTGGACCCTCAGCTGCGTGGGGTGGAGGCCCAGATCTTCCCCTCCCCCTCGTGGTCTGCTGTCTCTGTGGCATAGGCCACACACCGGGCTCACGCCTTGCCTGTGGGAATCCGTGGCACCAGAGCCGGGGTGCCGGTGGCCCCCCGAGGTAGGGGAGCCGAGAGGGACCAGCGGCCGCCCCGGCTCCTGCTGCCAACCGGGCCCTGATCAGCGATGAAATATGAAACCCAATTTATGCACTTTTTCTGTCTGTGTGTTACAGTTCATTAAAAAGGGAAGGCGCGCTCGTTCCCACACTGAATTCTAAATTCTCGTTCTGAAAGGAAAAAACCTGGTGACAGCAAAGCCTCGGCTTCAAGCCCTCCCAGGGCTTCCAGGCCTGCAGGAGGCCGCGGCGTGCATTCCTAGCTGGCCGCCATCTCGCTCTTATCCGACTCTCCTACTTACTCCTGTAGTCCCCGATGTGAGCCCCAGGCACCGGCCTTCCTCCTGACCGACACGTGCTGCCCCTTGGAGTCTTGGCCATCCTCAAATACAGGGAGGGGATGAACCACCTCAGTGCTGGGCGTTTGCTGAGTGACTGAAGGATGGGAGGGAAGGGTAAGTTCAGAGGCATTGGGCGTTTTACTCCAGGTCACACAGCAAAGTGAAGGCAAAGCTGGTTCAAGCTCCCCCAGCTGCAGTTCACTCACCCCTTCTGCACCCCCCCTGTCTCCCAGTCACCCCAGGCCTCAGTGACTCTGGGGTACCGATTCTGTGTCCCCCCAAATCCCCGCCCCCCACCTTTTCTCAGACATTCTGAGCTCTTCTAATTATATGCTCTTATTAAGCTCCTAAGCCCAGCGGAAGATGGCTCCCAGAGATCACGACGTCTAATAATTGCTTTAGTGGCTCTAATTCCAATTATTCAAGATTATCTTTCCAGGTAATTAGCCATCCTCACTCTCTCGACAAACGTCATCTAACCCCCGCCTGTGACTGGCTTTGGTGCGCAAGAGCAGGGGTGCAGCTCTTGCGTGGCGAGCAGGCGCGGCCGAGCATACACAGGCAAGATTTGTACATCCTCAGTGGCTCCGTGGGGCTGCCACGTTTCTCGATGAGAAACAGCGGTGCCACGGGTGGGGATGTGACTTGTGGGGGGGTTGGGCAGGGTCCACTCTGAGAAACGGTATGAGGGGATCAGGAATACAGAGGCAGGGTTCAAAGCAGACAATAAGCCGGGCCCTGGAGGCTCACGCCTGTAATCCTAGCTACTCAGGAGGCTGAGATCTGAGGATCATGGTTCAAAGCCAGCCTGGGCAGAAATGTCCGCGAGACTTCTATCTTCAATGAACCCCCAGAGAACTGGAATTGAGCCACAGCTCCAGTTCTGGCTTTTTTTTTTTTTTTTGCTGGTTAATTGGAGTCTCATGGGCTCTCCTGCCCAGGCTAGCTTCGAACTTCAATCTTCAGATCTCAGCTTTCTGAGTAGCTAGGATGACAGGTGTGACCCCTGGTCCCTGGTGACCCTGCCCATTTGTACCTCTTTGAATAGGGTATGAATTCCCATCTCTCCCGGGACAACACTTGCCACGGTGAGATTTATCAATGGAGCCAATCTGGCGGGTGAGGGATAGCATCTCATGGTGGTTTTCAATTATCTTCTCCCGGTTAGCAATGAGCGAGCGCTTCCTTCTGCGTTCCTGCGAGTTGGAGGCCGGCTTGCACAGAACGCTTGTTTGTATCTCTTGGCTGTTTCCATTAGATTATCTGTCGTTTAGTTTCTCTTATTGATTTATAGGAGGTTTGTAATTTCCTCTCATCCTTGGTCAGCCTCTGTGGCTTGCTGAATTCTCCCACGCTGTGTCTGTCTCCGACATCCGTCAACAGGAGTTCTTCACTTTTAATTGTAGCAAGCTAACGCTCCTGTACAAGTTAGCATGTTGGCGGGCTGTGAGCACAGAGCCCAGCGTCCTTCCACGCTGCCTCCTGCTCACGCATCGTGTGCCCCACACTGCAAATCAGTGGCCCTGCTTCCCACCTCCCGAGGCCCTCTCCCCCCTGCACTCCCTCCAACCCTGCCCAGTGTCTGTGAACTTGATGGTAGAAGGGTCCTCACCACAGCGGAGCCATCCGTACATGGCCCTTTGTGTCTTGTCGATGGCACGCACCGTAATGTCTTCAAAGCTGCAGCACATGTCAGAATAGAATTCTCCTCCGAAGGCCAACGAATGTTCCATGGTGCATGCGCACCATGGTTTGTTTGTCTGTTCATCCATCCATCATCCGCCCATCTGTCAGTCCACCCATTATCCATCCATCTGTCCATCCAGTCATCCACTTATCAATCCATCCACTTATCCATCAGCCATCCAGTTGTCTACCCATCCATCAGATCCATCCTTCTGTCCATCCACCATCCATCCCTCCTCCAACTGTCCACCCATCCACTATCCATCCATCCATCTGTCCATCAACCTATCTACCCATCCACCATCCATCCATTTATCCATCATCTATCCATCCTGATGTCATCCACCATCCATCCATCCTCCATCTACTCATTCATCCACCATCCATCCATTTATCCATTTATCCATCATCTCTCCATCTTGATGTTATCCACCATCCATCCATCCATCCTCCATCTACTCATTCATCCATCATCCACCATCCATCCATTCATCCACCTACCCATTCACCATGCATCCATGATCTATTCTGATGCGCTGACCATGGTGCTGAACCAAGCCCTAGATTAGGGCAGGCGGGTGTGAGGGGGAACCTAGGAGGAGGCATGAAGACTGAAGCTGGGTAAGAGGGACACAGGCATCTTGTGTGTTAATATCAGCTCACCCTGCAGTGCAGCAGGAAGGTCGGATGTGGGCTTTGAACCCGCATCTGCATGCGGCTCTGGGTACAGGCCTACGTGTTTACCATGTAGATGGAGGGGTTGTAGAATTTCAGCCTGACCAGGGACGTGGGCTTTTTTACTCTCCATCTGCTAGAGTATAAACATTTCTAGCTCTTCTCAGCCTGGGTCTGGACAGAAACCACCTGCTCCCTTCTGACCCCCTCCCTCCCCTGTCATTCCTCCTGATTAAACATCGCCCCGTCTCTGCGTGTTGCTTGTAGCCCGAGCTGCCTCTGTCCATACCGGGCTGTCTCTGTCTGGACAGGCCTGCTGTGCCTGGCTGTTTTCTCTCTCACCAGCGGGAGCACTGGCAATCTTCTGGGATTTAATTACAGCTCCCCCCGGGGCCTTTCAGTGGATCACGCGGCCCCCGCGGGCGGCCGGCTGCGAGGGTGACGGGCGCGTGCCCGGGATGAACAGCAGCATCTCGGCATGGCGCGGCGTGAGTGGCCGAGGCCCATGCTCCCGCGGGCTGCTCTGCTTTTTTTTTTTTTCTGTATCTCAGCAAAGAAACAAAAAATATCTCACTTCCCTTTCGCAATATCAGAGAAGATCCTAGAAGAAAGAGAAGCCAGGCAGGAGGGCAGTGGGGACGGACACCAGCCGGGCGCAGCGGCTCCCGGGAGGGGACAGCGGAGCTTTTTTCTTCCTTGAAAATAATGACTTGGTAATTCCACTCACTTTAATTAAGTCAGCCGGGCATGGTGACAGCTCAGGTGCAGGCGGGATCGCCATTTCAGGCAGCTGTGCTAAAGTCCAAGGGAAGACACACACACACACACACACACACACACACACACACACAAGCCAAAAAACCAAAACAACTACACAGTGAGGGTCAGCACCTAGAAAACAAATCTGGATGTCTCTTCTGCTGCCACAGCAGACTTTGCTAACTTGCCATACAGGGCTACATGAGAATGGTCTAGA